AGGGCGGAAGGATTGCCGGAGCCCAGCAGGTCGAGGCTGTGGTGGCTGGGAGCGGCCACTGCACTCCAGTCTGGGCAGCAGAGTGAGACTCCAACTCAAAAAAAAAAAAAAAAAAAGACCTGGGATATTGCAAATGCTTCTGAAGCCCCTCTGTGCCCCTCCCTAGTCATAACCCCTTCTTTCCACAAAGGTAAACATGAGCCTCAATTTTGTGTTCGTAATTCTCTTAATAATGTCACTACGTGTTTGTGAATTCCTAAGCAATACACTGTTGTGTTTTGCATCTTTTTGTACACCTTACATGAATGCATGCATGTTGCTTCTCCCCCTTCAACACTGAGGTTGCAAATTCATCCCTGTTGTAATTGTATTCATGCATTTTCACTATTGTGAAATGAAGAAATGATGAAAACACTGTCTTTGATTCATTCCTGTTGATGGACGTTTGGGTGGTTTCAAATTTCTACTGCTACCAACAGTGCTGCTTTGAATATTCATGAGCCTCTCTTATCATGCATGCGTTCAAGAGTTTCTCTATCCAGGAGTCACCAGCTGGTGGGTGTGCAGAGTCAACATCTCCGCCTTTGCTAGGCTGCACCACTTACATTCCCACCAGCAACGATGGCAGTGGCTGATGCTCCACATCCTGGTTTTGCCAGGTCCCGGAGGCCAAGGGTCTTGGATGCTTAGAATCCCCTTGACCTCTGCTTCTCCCCAACTTAGCCTCCCGGTGTTACTATCAGCGGGGGTACACAGGTTATTTGGGTTTTCCTGTTCTTCCCAAATCAAGTTAGTGTGATCATCCAAACATCTATTAACCACTAACTATGCAAGGCATAGAGTTGAGGGGATACTGAGGCAAATAAATCATTTTTTTTCCTCTCAAGACAACCACAAGACTCTTGTGGAGTTTGTACGGGGGCACAGATAACTTGAACACCGATTTCCCTGCCCTAAGGACTCATTCCTTCTTCCTTACTCAGCACTGGCCCTTGGGTGCTACGAAAAACACCATGCAAAGCTGTCCCCTGAGCTCCCCCACCTCAGCATCCAACCATCTGTTGGACAGGTCCATTTGCTCTTCTTCAGGGACCTTAAATTTTGATGAGTAGAGGTGAGGGACACTGCCAACTTTCTTACATTACACAGACAGCCACCCCACCCCACCAACAAAGAATTATCAGGCAAAATGGCAATAATGCTGAGGCTGAGAAACCCACAGTGGTCTAAAGTCACCCTCCTTCCTAAACCTGCTGTCATAGCCCTGTCTCATCAATGGCACCTGCATTCACCCAGTCCCTCGAGCTAGCCTGGTGAGAATCACTCAGATGTTTCCTCCCTTACCAGCCAGAGTCAGTCAACTCAGTCTTGACAACTCAGCCGACACTCTTGCCAATACCTGCTTCTCCCCCTCCTCCTGCCTGCTCCTGCTCAAGCCCTATTTGTTTATTTTGTGGACTATAAAATACAGTCCCTACGTGGTCCCCTTCCATTCTGACCTCTTGCCACACTGCCTTCAGAGCTGTCTTTCAATGTCTCGTGGGCCTTCCCACTCAAAGGCCATTCGCCCTCTCATTTTCTTCAACTTCCATATATTTCACTTAACTTTATCCTGCAGGATAAAGACCAGCTGAATCCTTAGCACAACATACAAGGTCCTTACCACCTGTCCCCAACGTTTCCTTTCAGCCTTGGAAAGCACTGGATGCCTCTCTGTGTCTTTGTTTATGGCGTGTCCTGTAGTTGAATGCCTTTGTTGCCTTTTAGACAATTGAATTCCACATACTCTTCAAGGTTCAACCTAGATGTTCTTTCCTCTGTGAAGACTTCCTCAATCCCTCCCGACTGCACAATTTCAATTTTTAATCACAGTTTGACTTGAACGAGGCTTAGGGCACATGTATGCTTGTGTACGTGTGTGTGTATATGTGGTATGTGTTCACTAGATGTGTCTCATTGCTAGACTGGGAATGTCTTAAGGTCAGAACTTAATGATGTCTTTATGTCATTGACTGTCAAAGCCATTTGTTGATTACAGTGAGTAGAATTATGTCCCCCTAAAAGATATGTTCAATTTGTAATCTTTGGTACTTGTGAATTGGACTGTATTTGGAAATAGGGTCTTTGCAGGTGCAATCGAGTTAAAATGAGGTCATACTGGATAAGGGTTGGCCCTAATGTATAAGAAGAGGGATACTTGGACACAGACACAGAGACACAAGGAGACTGTCATGTGACAATGAAGGCAAAAGTTGAAGTAATGCAGCTGCAAGCTAAGGAACTCCAAGAAGCAAGGAAAGATTCTCCCCCAGAGCTTTGGAAGGGATACAGCATTGCTTTGCCTACACCTTGATTTCAGACTTCTAACCTTCAGAACTGTGAAAGAACAAATCTCTGTTGTTTAAAGCCACCCAGTTGGTGGTGCTTTGTTATAGCAACCCCAGGAAATGAATACACTGATCTAGGACTAAGTACAATGCCTGGCACATAGAAAGTGTTTAGTAAATGTACAACATCTGCTCCCAAGGAACTTTTTGGGTGCTAACATACACATACTTTACTTTTCCTTACTTCTGGAGTTGTCTACGTACCAACCTTCTGTGTCTTTGGGTTTTTATAACCATAGAGATGGTGTTAAATGTTGGGCTTTTAGATACCTGA